TCCCTTCCATCATCATCCACTTCATCTATTATAAACCTACACTTTGTTCATAAAAGAACAGTAATTATAAGGATTAGGAAGATGTCTTCATGTGTACAAGGCTTTCTTAGATGACCTTGGTCCAATCTCCATTCCTGTGCTATGGGATAGGCATGTCTTGACAATTAACAATTGACTCCATCACTGGTGATTTGAGATATAGAGATTCTAAGGGCACACTGGACAATAAGGAAGGCAGATATGGCAAGCTTCAATATCAGTGAGATATCCTTTCTTTTGAAAATAAAGCAGAGAATGTATGATGAGGCCCATAATCATTCTCTGACTGACACCTACTGTGCATGGGTGCACACACTTGCACTTTCATAAAATGCATCCACTTTAACACTCAAAGAAGGTAAGTAATTATAAGCCAAATTTTCACTCAATTTCCACACAATTATTACAGCTAATACATAGAGTGAATAAATTTCAGAGATAAATTTCATCTTATAAGAACTATCAAAATATGGTTGAGACTTGATTATGTTTATTAACTATATGCATTCTTAAATCAGGGTCACACAGATGAAATTAAAATAGCATATACCATTCTGCCATTCAGCATGTTTAAGCTTAAATTATAGCTACATATCAAGAAAACCAAAACAAACAACAAATAAAAAGAGAAGAAAGGATGATTAAAATTTTATTAGACACAATATTACAAATCATGCAGATGGGACCAGACAAACAACAGAAAATTGCTAGAAAATAGGAATACAAAAGTATTCCTTTTGTGCTACTTAGATTTGTCTCTCCTACACTCAGCAAGAGAAGCAATTATGTGCTTACTGCAATGGATGATTTGAAAGGTGGGGGTGTTGGTTAACAATACACAGAAAAAAATAAAAAGACAGAGCAAATTAGAATTGGCAGCAACAACATAATATAATAATAGAGTAAACCACAAACTGGCAAAGTGGAATAAAATGAGGAATGTGCTCCCACAAAACCTTACTGAATTACAGCAGGGGCAGGAAATGGCCCCATAAAAGAGCAAACTGGCAGAATGTTCCAACTGTGTAGAATAGTTTTGACCAGGCTTGTGTATTTTATTTCCCGGAGTATTGAAACAGCAATAAGTGCTATTATTTCATTAGACTAGTTTTGAAAGTCTATAATGAATTCCCTGCTAACTACAAGATCAAAATACAAATGTTGTTATAAATGATCATCGAGGAATGATTTAAACATGTATTCTAATTTTTAATCAGAAAAAAGCTGCAAAAATAGTATCTAAAATAAACATAATGATCATAAGTGATTGTAAAGATTCTAGCCCAGAGTAAATAAGGAGTATTTTTCCCCAAAACCATATACATATATTAGGATTGTAAGGTGCTGGATGGGCAGAATGGAACTTTTCCTTGGAACTGTGTCATAGTAAATCATGAACATTTTCAAAGTTTGAGATTATAGGTAGTTTTCAAATATGAAAATTATATGAAGAATTTAATTAGATAGCCTATAGAATACTTTTATATTTTTCTGGCTTTTTTTTTTCTTATTTTGTAAATTGGTACTAGTGACTATTTTGGTTTCGATATACTCAGATTTTTTTTACAAATATATTTTAAAAATATACTTTGAATACATCATGTGAAATCATGCAAATGAGGTTGTAAATATCTAGTACTTTAACAGTGTGTGCTTATTTAGTATACAGCCCATAGTCACCAGGATAAAATCCAAGAAAATGGATAGAATTCATAACTGACTACAAACATGTATATGTCAAGAGTCTATAAATCTAATGTTAGGAAATGGTTATAGTTATTTTGTTTTACCAGATCAGATAAGTCTGGTTATGTATTTAAACTTAATATTTATTTGTTGTTGTTTCTGTGTACATCTTTTGTATTGAATCTTAAAGTTAAGACAGCTCACTACATAAAACAGGCTTCCTTCCTCAATGTGAGTGGGCATCATACAAAAGTTGAAAGTCTATATAGAAAGGCAAACACTGATTTAGCTAGAATGACAGAATTTATGTAAATTGATTGCCTTCAAGTTTCTATCTTAGTCTTCCCACCACAAATGATCCATACCTTTGGATTAAAAATAGATTACCAGATTTTCCTGTGTTTGTTCCTCTCAGACTTTGGATCTGAAAAAGATATAGTCTGTCCTGAATCTACAGCTGAATGAATTATACTGCTGATTCTTGGACTTCACAGCCTCTATAATACTGTGAGCCAATCCTTTAAATATATTTTCTTTTCTCTTCTTCTTCTCCTTCGCATCTTTCTGTTCCTCCTTCTTTCTCCTCCTTCTCTTTGCTACCCAACACCAACACAACCCTGCTTCCTACCCAAGCATCCTATTTGTTCTGTTCTTGTAGTAATGTCAGAATAAAATAAAGACCTAACATTTGGAATATAATTGCTATTTACAAAATTGCAGAGGTAAATGGGATATGTTGATTCTAAACGGTGGAAAAATGAGCATAAACTAAATGTCTGATATTAAAAGATATGGTTAAAATCAAATAAGAAATATAGATATAAATCCTTGAGCTGTTTTGCTTCTCTTTTCTCTGTAATTTAGGAAAGAGATTAAAGGCATTTGGTAGGAAAAACTGATTAGTACAATAAATCAAATGTATTGAGAAAAATTGTAAGAGAGTAAGTAGCTTACTAATGCAGTCAAGATTTTTGGCTCAGACAAATTATATCTCAGGGCACTGAGTGAACTTCAAGATCAGTTCATTAAGCTTGTGTCAAATATCTGTGAGAAATGATGGGAGGGCATGGAAAAAGGCGCTAAAATGTTGCTGAATGTTTAAGGAAGGAAGGAGGAGGTTAGATCAGACTCCAGACTAGACACAGGTTGGTATCCATTATATCTGAGAATACACAATTTAGTTGTTAAAAAAAATGCATTGCCACAGAATGGATTAAGTTTAATGAGTTACAATTTATAAATCAACACAGATAGCATATACTGCATTATTTGATGGTTATTTTCATCCTGAATATTGTGTTACATTCTGGAAGAGGCTTATTTAAGGAAAATACTGAAAAGAGACTGCATATTTCTATAGAGGCAAAAGGAAAATGATGATGGTGAATAAAAACAAAGAATTAAAATGAAACAGGTTTCACAGACAAGAGTTAAAATATGGGTGATAATTGGATGCCTTTATTTCATAAAGTTAGATTATAGTTATGTTAGGGAAAAACTTAAGAAATAATAGCAAGAATATCTGTTCATTCTCCTTTTGCCCAAGAAATCAAGATTGCTTTCCTTGTG